GAAATTTAGTTCATTTAAAAGAGCAAGGAACAAACATGCTGTGATTGTTGTTGGTGTTATGTTTTTTTGCAACACGAATTAGCATTGTTTCCTTTTATTCCACTTCACTTACCCGTAGGTTGTTTTACGTATGAAACCAACACGCTCAGCTAATTGACGAACGACTGTCTTCTCCAGTGGAGCGTTATTTATAATACCAACACCACGCACGGCTAATGCCTCCAGCCAGGCTTGCAAAACTAAAATTATTTCAAATTTTAATACGTATAATTCGAATAGAAGTCGCGTTGGGAGATAAAATTCAGAGTAAGTTTATTTGTGGCTAATTTTAAGTTTTCGCTAATTTTTAGAAATTAATTTATATTATTTCACTAATTTTAAGTTTGAAGAATGCAAATTGTTCGCTCTTCATTTGAAATTTGACATGGTTTTATTAAACAGATAAATATTTCAAAAGATCACTAATGATTGTGGACACAATCCGAAACAGATCTATGTATGGTTAGCCAATATATTTGACTTAATATGAAATTAATTTTCAAATTTGCAATTTCTCCCCCATTTCCTTCTTTACTACAACGACTGACAATTTATGCTTAAAAGGGATTTGGTAAGGAAACCCACCACTCCAACCTAATCAAACCTCTTTTACTATAAGAACTAGACTTCTTGTCATGGAATATAATAATGTTAATTTAAAAAAAAAAGCAAAAGATAAATATTTTGTTCGCACCTTTGTCGTCTTCCATCACAGCATTGAAATCAAATCTTGCGGTAATTTTCTCAAAGTCTGCACCGCTCCAATGCAACGATTTCGGGCGGTAGAAGTCTGTGAGATACTCTTTTCGACGCACATCGGAAAACTCGCGTTCCTTTAACCATTTCAAATCGAAAATTGATTGATGCTGGTCACTCCACTTTATATGTACTTGCTTTGTTATAGCATCGGCCTTTAATATAAAGAAATTCGATAAGCCATTTTAAGTGATACACGACTCACAGCCTCACTCACTCACCTTCAAGTCGCTCACTTGCACTTTTGTATCAAATTTGTCCCAATTTATGCGACGTGACTTAGAACTTTGATGGAAGCATTCCTCACAGCAGCAATTGTCGCGCAGCCAAACACCTGGGAACTTCATGGCCGCTGCATCTGAGGATGACTGCTCTTGGATCTCAACGTATTTATTCTCCACTAATTTCGCTGTTAAGCAGCGTTTAAATATTTTACTTATATTATTAACATTTGTATTTATAATTTTATTCAATTGCTTGCAATGGCCAGCAAACATTTTTGTTGTTAAAAATTCAAACCAAAAACTTTCACGAATAAAATTTAAACTCAAAGTTCTCATCCAACACGTTCAGTAGCTTTCTAAGCACTGATCAGCTGGCCATAAAGTTTATCTCCGCAGTTAAGTCAACTCATTCATGAATATATATTTGCTTTATTAGAAAATATGGTTATTATCGTTCGCAGAGATAAGATTTCCATGAATAATGGGATTTGTTGTTTCGCAAACGACTAAACAGATTTGATCAAGGTGACCAGACGAAAAACAGAATGAACAGTTTAATAGAAATTTTCAAATATGGAAGATTTCATAATCGGATTGGTATTCGTCAGGGAATCACTCGTCATTTCAGACGACCAAGTACTACTTCTTGAATAACCTGAACACATAATATTAAGTGATTATCGCATTGCATTGATTTCTATGTTATTTCTTAGTTTAACTTATTTGTCATTTGAATATTCTACGTATGGTCACCTCATTTCTTTAATGAAGCATAATAATATTAATGTGTTTAGACTTTAAACCTATGGGGGCATCAGTTCTTCAAATGCGCAACCAACACGTCAGAGAGTATCCCATTTCTACTGATAAGCGAATGATCGCAAATCAACAACAACAAAGCACGAATGCATCGCTGGGTGACTTATGTGCGCTGCTAGAACGTTTACATGAGAACAAAGACGCGAATAGTGGGAACAGATTTCTGACGCTGTTAAGTTGTTGATATAAGTGTAAAGATCACTGCGGAGAAGAATTTATCGCGCTGGATGCATATTTAAATTTTGTATGAATTGAAGAGCAAAATATATTTAAAAATTAGTAAATATTTTTTTAAACATTAAATTAAATCAATTAAAAAAAACATAGATTTATAAATAGCAAAAATATATATATAAACACAAATAAAATTTAAAAAAAATGTGAAAATAAATAAAAAAATTAATTAATTGAATTAGATATTATTTATAAAAATAAGAAAAATTTTTCTTTAATATAAATATATTTTATTTATGTTTACCTAATATTAATATAATTTAGCTTAGATAGGTAAATTATACTGATTGAAACTAACTGTTCAACCTTTGGCGATACAAATAAGAGACATGATTACGAGATCAGTGAAGTTTTCATATCATATAACTAAGAGATTTTAGGTATGACATAATTTTACCATATATTAAAGTACCCGACTGCTCTGAGTACTATTCTGTTATTATTTTGGACATGTACCATATATGTCAAATTTTTGTTAATATTTTTTTTGATAACATATTTTGTTTCATTTTCTCGTTATGAACAAAAGATTTTAAACAAATCCTTAACATTTAGTTGATGTGAAGAAATTTTTAAAAATTTATATTTACAAAGGCTGTCAAGAGAATTTATATTTTGTGGCTAACAAGCATTCGAGTTCTTTACTGCTCAAAAATACTGATAATTGAACTCAACAAAGATTATTTACATATATAGTAAAAAAGAAATTAAATTATTTATTTAAGATGATGAATTATGAAAGTAAATGCAATTAAATTACAATAACTGAATGTAATTAATATCTTTTGCCCCATGAAGTATGCTAAAGAAAATGCAATATGCCACAAGCTGTAAGTTGCATGCCAATAACATTTTGTTAACATTTATACTGGGAGCATTTGACAGAAAATAAGAACAGAACAGAATGCAATCTTTTGTTGTCGATGCAATGCACATTCATTAGAAAATAAAGTGGAATAAGTACTATGAAGTAACTTTGCTTTAAAGCTATAAAACCTCAGCGACACAACTATTGTTCCGACCATAATAAAATCACCGTTCATTAAATGTGAGAAAGCTTTATGTACTGGTAAAATGTCTGATGAAATTATGTGGAATCCAAATCAAAAGTCAAATGAATATATTAAACAGAATTAGGTAATTCTACAACAATTAGGTCTTGAAATATCTGCATACACAGAAGACAGGTGTATATATATATATATTGTGGGAGGTTGGGATAGTGCACCATCCAACAAGTGGCCCCACTGAAGTGAAAGATTAGCCGAAGTACACCATGAAACGGACTTGAGTGCTTTTTCGTCCTTCAAATTCTCGGATGTCGTTATTGAAAAAAAGATAAAGTGGCTTCCGTTCGCATAACTACATCTATAGTTATTGCAAGCAGCTCATTTAGCTGGTATGTTTGTATCAATTTTAATACGTAATGTTATTTTGAAATTAAATTTTAGTAGTAACCTATCCTTTCTGATTAAATTGAGACAAAGTAAGTGTGTCGTTGTTTTGTAGATTCCAGGTCATGAATAATATGAAATCAACGAAAGCACTAATTGACTCGTCAAACGAGGAGCCACACGTCAAATAATTAGGCCTTACTGATTCTATAAAGATTCATCAAATCTTTAAAGGTAACCTCAAACAGTCTTCTTGTACTGAAAAAAGAAGAAAAAAAACTCTCGCAGTGTGTATGGCAAGTCTGGAATTATTTTCAAAGACAGAGACAGACTTATCAACTTATCGAAGGCAGCTTAAAATATACTTCTTGGAAAGGTTTTATGACTAAGAGACTCTAATGAGCATAGATTATATTACTGGATTTCTGAGAATGAATTGCAGCTTAAGTTACTAATTCAGTTTATTGGATTCTCACAGACCAAAATCTATAATTGGAGCAAAAATTACTATTTTTAAGGGTTCCATGCATTTATATGCAATATCTACATCTCAAATTTAGTGTTGATTCTTTAGTTTTTTTGGATCTAAACAAATATTAACAATTAAATTTGTAAAACTTCTCTTTCAAATGCGGAATTGTTTTTTATTTACTCAATTCAATGATTTGGAACTATACGATTGCATCAATCCAACCTTAATTTTGTTGTAAATTACTTATTGTCTTAGATTAAAGACAACTTATTCTTTAATATATTATTGAGGACAACTAAAAATTAATTTTAATAAAGTTAATAGTTTGTTTTTCCAGAGTTTATATATGGCTTCATAATAATCCTATGGCCACGTCAATTTCAAACCTAGGGATGCGCCCAGAAGGAATTTGTTCTAATATATTCTGAGATAATCCGCTGAATGTTTTACTCATATTATTAAAGCAAATTTCATATAAAATCTGAATGAAATTAACTTTATCACATCAATAAAACTGTGAAATACTTCTTCAGCAAATATTTGACAAAAAAAGAGTACACTACATAAAATATTATAAACGTTTACTCAGATTAAAATTCAATAAAGTGGAAAAGTAAATCATGAAACGAAATTGTGATGACTTAAAAAGGTGAAAACAACAACAACAACAACAGCAACAACTTCAACTTACAACAGCTCAGCATCTCAGCATCTCATAAGCACGGTGACATCTTCGAATGCATAAATTGCATTGCTTTGCCATCGAAAAGGCAAGGAAATCAAATAGAAACCAAATCACACATGAAATGCTCAGCAATTGGAAGCCTCAAGTGAAGAAGACATTTCTGAAGATATTCACCGTGGAACGCGTATAGGTTCTGCCTGCAACCACTGCCTCTGCCGCTACTGTTGCAGTTATGCGTTCGCCAAATTGTATCTGCGATATTGTACTCGTATATGAAAGATAGTTACGTTCGTTGCAATAAAAATGTACGACAAATGTGAGAGCATTTAAGATTGCAACGAATTTGAAGTTACAAAAGCTGATGAAGGCAGAAACCGAGGCAAACCAATGTAAAGCACAGCAAGGCTTGGCGTGGCATCGCATCTCGGATGGCATGGCAAGACTTGACATTGGTATGGATTGGCACAGAAGCAGCAGCCTTGTCACATATGCCATAAAAGGAGCTAAAGTACAAATCGTTGTCACATGTGAGTTGCATTTTTATTTGCTACAACTTGGGAATTTGTAGTTAATGCTGTTATTGTTGTTGTTGTTTTTGTTGTTGTTGCTGCTATAAAACTTTGAAGATCGCAATACTGTTGCTTAAGTATTTATTGCACGAAACTTAAGTGGTCAAGAAATAATTCATAACATTCAATTTTATTCAATGTTAACAGTAATATAAAGGCAAGAGAATTCAAGCTTGAAGCTACTTTTCTCGTAGAGCCAGTGTACGTTATAGGCATTTTGTTAATATGTTATTATTTCGATCTTTAATATAAAAACAATATAATTATAACCTAATAGACTATGTTCATATAGTTAGTATACAATGAACTACTGAAAGAAAAACTATTTGAACTATTTAGAAGTACTTCTTAAGTATTCGGAAATATATATATAGCGCGTCTTATATTCGTTCATTACCTCTAACATTTTTGGTATTAAATTTCTTATTTTTTTATTCTTTCCTTTTTGGTAAAGTGCTTTATTGTTATTGTTTTGACTTAATTTAATTTTTTTATGATTTTTATTGCTTTCACGGGAATGCATTCTTCAAAAGGTGATGCCTATTGAGGAACCAATTGCATGGACAATGCTCCGCAAAATCTTCAATAGTTGCCAGAGCTGTGAGAGCTTCAAAACTTTGCTTTATGTGGTTAGAAGAAAATATATGTATTCTTTATATATATAGAATACATTTTCCGTTTGTTATATCTAATATGTTATATCTAATAATGCTCGAAACAACTGAATTATCAGCCAAAAATTCAATTAATTAAAAGTAAATAAAATTTGCTGTTGTAATTCAATACTGTTCGAAACCTCTCTATAAAAATATAAGAGTAATCTAACAGAACTTTATTGATATATTACCCTATCACCCGTACTTGGCTTTATATAGTCAGTGTACCGAACTTACTTCACTGAAGTTTTTGACTTAGTATCAGTGATGACCAAAGCTTTCTTACCGGTAATCAGGCAAGGTATATTGATCATTTGATCTGATAAGAAAGTAATTAACATTTATAACAAAATCCTCATACCTCCCTAAAGGTGCTTAAACAATGTATTTTCAATTTATTATTTAAACTATATTCAACCATTCCACCTAAATCTTAACATCTGATTTGAATACTAAAATTTTTTCATTGTCTTCTTGAAGTTAAAGAAAAACATATGAATTTTAAATTATTTAAATTTAATGCATTGACCCAGAAGTATAAAATTAGTAAGTCCCTCCAT